CCCCACCTCCCCCTCGCCCCCCAACTCTGCCATCGCCCCCAGGCCTCCCTGGTAAAGGCAGGCTCTGCTCCTTGCTCCCTGGCTCAGCCCTCACCGTGGGGGTTCCGCTCTGCGCTGGGGGATGACCCCGGCTCCCTCCAGTCCCAGAGGCCATAGCCGGCTCCTTTGGGTCAGGGTTACCTTGGAGACGAGACGCTAAAGTCTCCTGCCAGGCAAGCGCAAGTCCCGCCCTGGCTGCCTGAAATCCTGCCTTCTGCTCTCCTCCAAGGAGGTGGGGTCCCCAGGGCCCCACCCCAAAGAGGCCCGTTTTTTCTCCCGGATGTCCCCTCCGGCCCCCTGCACCGGGCTGGGCATCGCATCTTATGTCTTATTCTGCGCTGTCACTCCAACCCCTATACGCCCCCAGTACCAGGCCTGGGGACTTGTGTTTGTTGAGTGAATGAGTGAGGCTGGGGGGGCGGCCCTAACTCAGTCACTTTGTTTCCCGGTCCCAAAGCTCCGGTGACTAAGATGGTGAGTTAGGCAGGAACAGGGGCTTCTGTAGGATCAGGCGGGGGGCGAGGGGCTGGGCGGGTGAGTGAGGTGGCGGCCAGAGGACCTGTTGTCTGCCACTGAGTCAAAGGGGAGTCCTTCAGGCCAAGGATGGTCTCGGGAGCAGACCAAGGAAGGAAACAGCAACCAAGTTCAGGGAAAAGGCGGGGCCCAGCCAGAAACAGGTAGCTGGCCCCTTGATGCCCCCCCCTTGCGGCTGTTTGCTGGCTGTTCCTTGGCCAAGGCGGAGAAGGCTGGGCGCTCAGCAGCAATGCCCCGTAACTGTTCCTCATCCTGGAAAAGTTACCAAAGCGCGAATTCTTGACGGGAAGTTATCAAGGTCTTCTTGGCTTAAGAACAGGTGAGAGGAGGGATCTATTTCGGTAGCTGTGAACTTCCTAAGATAGGCCCCTGAGCAGCAGTCAAGGAAAATCAGGACAGGAAGCTGGGATTAGCACCCCGTGGATTGCCACCCCCCCTCCACTTCTGTTCAGCAGCCCTTCCCAGCAGTCCTGGCGTCTAAAATCAGAAAGACCGTTTCCACCGCCTCCTTTGAGCCTCAGTCCCCATCTCTAGGTAAGGGGCCTGCGGACAGTGCATTAGCTGCCCTGTGGGTCCTATGGCTTCAGCAAGCCCCCAACAAACAGAGATGGGGCCCTGTGGTCACAGGCCCTGGGAGTGGAGGATGCAGGTGTACCTTTCTGTCTCTACCTTATCTGGGGAGAAAAACAAAACCAGTCCCTGTGCTCACCACTGGCTGGCTTGACCGAGGAGGTGCCTGTGTGTGCACAGCAACCTTCTGAACTCTCAGACACAGAAGTATATCCCCCTGGCTCCAGCGTTGTTGGGAAGTGAAAACACAACCATGAAGAGAGCAAAGATACAGGACTGTGCAAAGTCCCCTATGGATGAGGCACACAAGGAGGGGTCATGAAGAAGAGAGGACTCGGCCACTGAGGGATGAGTTCTGAGGGAGGTGGAGGCCCTCGGGATGGGGTCAAGCTGATGGGTGTGAGAGGGCACCCCAGGCTGGGGGCACATGCAAAGGTGCACATGCAGGAATGGACAGGGCCTGCGATGGCCCAGTGGGTCCCACTGCCTGGCTGTGCTGGAGGAGCCGGGCAGAGGGAACTTCCAGCAGCCCGGGCAGAGACAGGTCAGACTCGAAAGCCTCATTATGGGATTTAGGAGTCACCATGTGGGTAATGGAGAGCTCTTGGTGGGTTTTGAGCAGGAGAGAGGTAGGCTTTAGGGAGATTCATCTGGTTCCTTGCACCTTTGCTTATGTCAACCAGGATTAGGAAAAACAAATGTCTGATGGGGATGTATCTTCCCAACAGAACAGTCACTGACAATTTTGGCATAGAATGTAGCTATTGATGGTCGAAGGGTTGAGCAGAACAATCAGTAAGCACAGTAGATCTTATTTCTGTTTTAAAAATCACATGTATGTATGTACGTGTGTGTGCAGAGAGGGATGAAGGGAGGCAGGAAGAGAGAGAGAAGCAACTACAGAGCTGCTGTCAGGGCCTCCCCATACCCCCCAGCCTCCCCCAGGGGTCCCCTGTGATTGGTCCCTGCACTCACCTAGTCTCTCCACCTGGGGGCATTTTCTGGCCACAGGGAGGCAGTCCTGAGATTGTCCTTGGAGCAACCCTGGAGCATTAGGGACAGGAATGGATGGTAAGCTCCTCAACCCCCTGGCCTCAGTGGGACAACTCTGAGGGTCCTCCCCACAGTCTCTCAGCAGTCCCCATGGCCTTGCGCCCCAGTTGTCCCAGTGACAGCCTGCTCACAAACACTCTCTATTGGCTTTTCTCTTCTTCCTGTCACTTCTCCGCTCTCCCACAGTGCTTCCTGAGATTCCCTTCCAAATAAACAGCATGCTCCCAAATCCTGGCCTTTGGGGGAATCCAAACTAAGCCCCTGACCTCCCACTTTCTCCCTATCTGCCCCTAGGCTGCTGAAAATTTCTTAAACTGTTCTAGTAGCTCTAGGATAAATTTGTGTTTGGTGAAGTGAAATACTGAAATAAACATTGAAGGAAATTGGTCTAGGAATATAGTGGTCAATGAATTAAGCTGAGGCAAGGAGGCCAGCAAGGAGGCCACCACCCTCACCCCTCTAAAGGGAGCCCAGAGCAGGCTGGAGGTGACCATGGGAAACAGGCAGGAAGAGGCGACTGGTTCAATACCTCCGATAGAGGATTGCCTATTAACCTACGTGAATCTTGTGTTTTGGAAGACAGGGCTGAAATAAAATGACCCCGCTTCTGTTCAGTTAGAGTCCTTTGTCAAAGGAAACAAGCGTTTGCTATTTGATCAAAGGGGAAGCCACACACTGATCTGCCAGAGCTGTTTGCTTGTAGATCTTCCATCAGTCCAACCTAGGAGGAGCCGCTTCCAGCTATTTGCCCTGCCTACTGTTATTTTCTTTGGTATTGACCACTCCACCTATTTCCTTTCCACTTTTCCTCTTGTTTGCATCTTTGTTTTTTTGTTTTGGAGGTTTTTGTTTTTAGTGTCCCAAGATAGTACGTACCCAAAGTCCTCCCTGTTGCCTTGGTAAAATCTATTCCTGGGACTAAGCTAAACACGGAGAAAGATTTCTAATAAAATGTGTTCATTATAGTGTCATTTTTAAGAGTTGAAAAGTGAACATAACTCAATGTCTATTAATAGGGGGATGTGTATGTAAAATCAAGGGAATTTACGGAACTAGAAAAATGAGCTCCCTCCTTACACCCTCAGAAAAGGAGAGAAAAGGGCCCTTCTAAGAATTCAAGTGGAAATTTCCATGCTCCTTTTTGATACAGGTGAGGGCATGCTGAGCAGAGAGATGGCCCAGCAGTGAGCCCTTTGCTTGGGCTCAGTTCCTGAGGCACAAAGTGGGAGGAGCTAGAATATGAGGGTGGGAGGAAAGGAGTTAAGTGCCGCTTTGCAGGATTACGTGACTACCTAAGCACGGTGAAGGAGCCTCGGAAACACAATCGTGAAGAAATTCCTTTTGGTTTAGAGGCTCTGGTGATGCAGTTTCTGCAAAGCATGGTCATCCTTGTGAGATGTGTGTGTGGGGTTTTGTCCAACAGGCCCCACCCTGGTGGTACTTTTGGGGACTGAGGAACACATAGATCACATCAGTGGGACACTTTGTGATGAGGATCTGGTCTCAAGGTCCCATCCACCACATTGAGCTGTGGGATGGTTACAGAGCCCTCCCCTCCCTGGCTTCCTGGAGTTAGGGTGCCAGCAACCATGGGGGAGCACCTCCTGAAGCTCCCAGAGAGTCCCCCTGACCAAATGACTCATAGGAGGAACTAGACTGCTCAGGCTGGGGCTTAGGGACGGGACAGGGTGTGACAAGGCCAATTCCTGTGAGCCAGGGTGGGATTTTCTGAAAGGGGGTTCTGTTTTGCAGAATTCTTTTGTTCGTGGGCAACTGAGATTGAACCTGTGTCCCTCCCAAAGTCCGCTCTGTCCATGACTCAGCCGGGGCCCTGGCTGCCAGGACAGACTCAGGGATGAGCATGGGAGACTGGGGGAGTGACGGCAGGGAGATCTGGGGGACAGGACTCTGGATTCACCCAGGGACTCTGTCTGCCTGGGCGGGCGCTGGTGGGTGAGCTGGGAGATGGGGCCTTTCACAGCTGTTCCACTAGGGGTCACCACAGCCCCAGAGTGGAAGGAGGCGGGCTGAGCAGGCCTCGCCCCCCCTCACCACACCCCTCCCCGAGCTCCGAGGGTGGGGNGACTAAGCTAAACACGGAGAAAGATTTCTAATAAAATGTGTTCATTATAGTGTCATTTTTAAGAGTTGAAAAGTGAACATAACTCAATGTCTATTAATAGGGGGATGTGTATGTAAAATCAAGGGAATTTACGGAACTAGAAAAATGAGCTCCCTCCTTACACCCTCAGAAAAGGAGAGAAAAGGGCCCTTCTAAGAATTCAAGTGGAAATTTCCATGCTCCTTTTTGATACAGGTGAGGGCATGCTGAGCAGAGAGATGGCCCAGCAGTGAGCCCTTTGCTTGGGCTCAGTTCCTGAGGCACAAAGTGGGAGGAGCTAGAATATGAGGGTGGGAGGAAAGGAGTTAAGTGCCGCTTTGCAGGATTACGTGACTACCTAAGCACGGTGAAGGAGCCTCGGAAACACAATCGTGAAGAAATTCCTTTTGGTTTAGAGGCTCTGGTGATGCAGTTTCTGCAAAGCATGGTCATCCTTGTGAGATGTGTGTGTGGGGTTTTGTCCAACAGGCCCCACCCTGGTGGTACTTTTGGGGACTGAGGAACACATAGATCACATCAGTGGGACACTTTGTGATGAGGATCTGGTCTCAAGGTCCCATCCACCACATTGAGCTGTGGGATGGTTACAGAGCCCTCCCCTCCCTGGCTTCCTGGAGTTAGGGTGCCAGCAACCATGGGGGAGCACCTCCTGAAGCTCCCAGAGAGTCCCCCTGACCAAATGACTCATAGGAGGAACTAGACTGCTCAGGCTGGGGCTTAGGGACGGGACAGGGTGTGACAAGGCCAATTCCTGTGAGCCAGGGTGGGATTTTCTGAAAGGGGGTTCTGTTTTGCAGAATTCTTTTGTTCGTGGGCAACTGAGATTGAACCTGTGT